CCCCAACAGGCCCCAGGCTTTTAAGGCCTAGTCCCCAGACGTTTAAAGCCTAGTTCCCCCAAGCTCGAGGCTTTTAAGGCCTAGACCGCCCCCCACCACCCCAGGCCCCATGGCTGAGCTCCTGCTCCTCGACTCGAGTATCCGCCTCTGGGTGGTTCTCCCCATCGTCCTGATGAGTATCTCTCTCGGCCTGATCCGCCATTACCTCGGACGCCTGCTGCGGGGGGAGAGGAGAGCGGAGCTGGAGCAGCTCTCGGACAGGTCTCCGGCCCCGGCCGACAGTAGCCGGCCCGTTCCCTGCGTCTCCGGCCCCGGCCGACAGTAGCCGGCCCGTTCCCTGCGTCTCCGGCCCCGGCCGACAGTAGCCGGCCCGCTCTGTAAATCTCAACCGAGACGCACTAACGCTATCGATAGTGACGCAGTCCCGTCTGTACACACTAACCTGATTAAAATGAGCACAGTTGGGTCAATACATGGCAAACCTGGTCAATACACTAACCTGGACTATGATAACCCAGGTCAAAGTTAACCAAACCAGGTGAAGAAACACTAACCCTATACCCAAACCGAGTTAAGGAAACCTGGCCGAGATATCCAATCCTGGTCGGTAGACAACCCCCGTGAATAGGCTCGTACCCTAGACGTTAACCTGGTTAATACTTGCTAACCCGGTTAACATCGGCCATTTTCAGGTGGCAACGACACGACTTCAACCTCTAACCTAACCTAGTTAATGCGCTCTAACCCGGCCAATCGAACTTAACCCGACTGGCACACTGGTTAGCTGGGTTCACTGATGACCTGGTTAATTACAGCCAGGGAGCAGAGAATGGGACAGTAAAACCTCAGACAAAACGACCCATTCAGAGAAACGGTCCCCGCCGCGCCCCCCGCCGCCGCCGATCTCCCAAAGATAACTGAGCATTCGTTAACCAGGAACGTAAGCCAGTCAGGAACGAGGGGATCGGGTATGTTATACAGTGCGTGTCTCGCCCCCGACCTTCTGTCTGCGGTTTCGAACTGAAATCTTTTTTTTTCTTTCTGTGTCTCTCTGATTATAGCCAGGTGCTGCACCGAAGTAAGCTCCTCCGAGAACATGGAACATACCTACCTCAGCAGGTGAGGGCAGGATTTCACTTGAGGCTGTGAGACAACGGGGGTGAGGGAGAATGGGGGACTCCATCCTGCAGGGAGAGAATGGGGGGGATTTACTCCCGCAAGGGCAGTGGGGGGAGAATGGGGGATTTACTCCCACAGGAGCAGTGGGGGGAGAATGGGGGATTTACTCCCACAGGGGGATGGAGGAGAACGTTGTGGGGAAGGGGTGCAGGAGGTTTGAGAAAGGCGCTCCCTCTCTCTCTCCAGGTCCCACCAGGTACTTCTGAATCACTAGGCAGGGTCATAGCATCTCTTTCCGAGTCTAACCTCTCCATGCTCTCTTGCCTTCCAGTCATTCATGATGAGAAAGCACTTCTTCAACGATGCTGAGTCTGGGTTCTTTAAGAGGACAAAAAGGAAAGTGGTAGCTAGGAACCCAATAACAGGTAACAAAACTCCCATTCCAAGCTGCAGCTGGAGTGGGTGGACAGATAGGGCTGAGAGCTACGGGGCGTGGTACC